TAGGCTAAATCTACTCTTCCTGTGCTCTATCAGTGGAACAACAAAGCCTGGATGACACCACATCTGTTCGCAACATGGTTCACTAAATATTTTAAGTCCACCACTGAGACCTACTACTCAGAAAAAAAGATTCTTTCCAAAAATATTACCACTAAATGACAATGCATGTGGTCACCTGAGTTCTGACTGAGATGAACAATTAGTGTTGTTTTTGTGCCTGCTAACATGACATCCATTCTGCAGCCCAAGGATCAAGGAATAATTTCAACTCTCAACACCTTATTATTTAAGAAATACATTTCATAAGTCTATAGCTGCCATAGGTAATAATTCCACTGAGAGACCTGGGCAAAATAAATTGAAAACCTTCTGGAAAGTGCTCGCTATTCTAAATGCCCATAAGAACATTAGTGATTCATGGTAATAGGTCAAAATATTGACATTAATGGGAGTTTGGAAGAAGTTGATTGCAGACTTCATGGATGACCCTGAGGGGTTCAAGACTTCAGTGGAGGAAGTAACTGCAGGTGTGGTGGAAATGGCAAGAGAAGTAGAATTAGAAGTGGGACCTGAAGACATGGCTGAATTGCTGCAATCTCATGATGAAAGTTTAATGGAGGATGAGTTACTTCATACAGATGAGCAAAGAAAGTGGTTTTTTATAATAGAATCTGATGGAGATGCTGTGAAGATTGTTGAAATGACAAAAGAAGATTTAGAATATTACATAAATTAGTTGATAATGCAGCAGCAGGGTTTGAGAGGATGGAATCCAATTTTGAAAGATGTTTCACCATCAGTGAAGGGCTATCAAACAGCATCACATGCTGCAGAGAAATTGTTGGTGAAAGGAATAGTCAGTGGATTTAGCAACTTCGTTATTGTCCTATTTTAAGAGATTACCAGAACCTTCAGCAACCACCACTTTGTATGGTCAGCAACCATCAATACCAAGACAAGATCCTCACCGCAAAAGTTTATAACTCACCAAAATCTCAGGTGATGGTTACATTTTTTAGCACTAAAGAACTAGGGGAAGTACATTGTTTTTTAGACATAATGCTATTTCAGACTTAATAGACTACAGAATAGTGTAAACATAACTTTATATGCACTGGGGAACCAAAAACTTCATTTGAGTTGCTTCATTACGGTATTTGCTTTATTGTAGTCATCTAGACCGAACCCACAATATCTCCATGAATATCACCTAATTTTGGTTGGGCAGCTGTTTGAGATGTTAATCTGTATCTTGCTCTGGGGGCAGTAGGTGTTTTTGTCTCCCCCACCCAAGGGAAAGTAGCCAAGTCTGCCTCAGGCAGTGGCTAATGACTTTAATGTTACAGGACCAAAATTAAAATTTGCCTGACACTCAGAACACAACTCAGTCTTAGAGATGATACAGTCTTAGAAATGTTCCAGGAGCTAGGAGACACCAAGTGTTAGAAGAAAAAGAAGTGGACAAACGTTAGAGAGAAAATGATTTGGGGAACAGCTCCCTATGTTTAGGGGGATATGTTTATGGGTTCAAGAGACTCAGGGACATGTGTCCTACTCCCACACAGTAGTTGGATCCAGGGCCTCTGATGATGCTGCTGACTTGGCAGTGTGTTCCCTCTCAGGGGCAAGTCTCCCAGCTGTAGGCTGAGACTTCAAGTCTCCCAGTTGTAGATCCCTGGCTCAAGCCTTGCTTAAAGTAGTGGAATCACTCACCCACAAGACAGTATCACGTGTGGATCTGGATAAGACAAGCTCCCACCCTGCCTCCAACACTTTCGAGGGCCCCATTTTTGCCTTCCATGGGCTGCATCCCTCCTTCTGGGGCAGGAGGTCTTCAAGGGACATGTGCATGCAGAGCCCCCACCTCACTCTTTTTTTTTTTTTTTAGATTTTTATTTATTTATTTTGAGAGAGAGAGAGAGAGACAGAGTGAGAGAGAGCATGAGAGGGGATGTCAGAGGGAGAAGCAGACTCCCCATGGAGCTGGGAGCCCGATGTGGGACTCGATCCCAGGACTCTGGGACCATGACCTGAGCCGAAGGCAGTTGCTTAACCAACTGAGCCACCCAGGTGCCCCGCCCCACCTCACTCTTTTAGACCATGTTCCACATACTCCATAATTCCCAGGCCCACTTACCCTGAACTATGTCCAAGTTCTGCACCAGCATCTTTCCAGGGTCCATCTTCCTAATGGCAGCCATGGACCTGAATGTACACCCTCACTCGAGAGACAGTTAAAATGTGACCTTTTGGCAGAGGTAGGGATTGGCAAACAGAGTTCATATATGCAGGCTGGACAATACACACACACGCACACACACACACACGCATGCAAGTTCCTTTATTGTGCAGGACAGATCAGGGGTAGGAGGCGAAAGAGAGCAGGCCACAGCTAGGGCCAGGAGCCACCTTTCCTACATCACAAGAAGTCCCCAATTTTTTAATTCAAACCAGACCTTCTAACTTGTTACAAAATTATATTTATCAAGGTAGAATTATAGAATCTATTTTACTTAACAGTTTTTCAGGTTGATTTATAACTTTAAAATATTTAATACATGCTATGTGAACCTCTATTTGTACTCTTGTTCTAGGCCCTAGAACTTTTAGGGGTGGCCTGGGACCATAAGAATTTGGATGACAAATACCCCTAACATAGTCTGAAGACCAGAGGGCATGTCTCATAATATTCCAGAGTATGTAGCACCTGGAAGAGGTAAGACACCCCTAATGAATCCCCCCTCTCAAAAATAAACATGGCAAATCCTGGATTTCTCATCTCCCTTGACCAGGGTGGCTTAGAGCTAGATTTAACTTCATTTAGAATAAAATAGGATAGGGATTTGTCTGTCTTATTCACTGCTTTATCACTAGCACCTAAAATACTGCCAGCACAGATGTTGAATGAATGGATTCTTGCTCCCAGCGTAAAGACCAAACTCATGCCTGCCACATGAATAAAGTATCTGGTTTTATGTATGCCGTCACAGAGTAAGTGTCAGTGTTGGATACTCAGTTTTTGCCAAACACATATAGTACTTATTTGTATGTAATTTGTCAGAAAAGCCTAGAATACCCTGTTGGTTTACTAAATTGTTTTAGCACTGTTAGCACCATCTGCTAGGCCTGGACGCCTATGTGTACATTGCCTGCTGAGTTTCCTCACTTCCTTATTGTTGTAAGTCCTCATCCCATTTTCTGGCAGAGCCCCTATCTATTAAAAATTCAGAGTTTCTTGGGTCCTGAGTGTGAAACCAATTCTGTTTCATAGACTACAAATTTAAGGTTCTAGATCCTTTTCCATCTATATGTGACTTTTCTGTCCTTCATAGTACAGTTTTATTCATTGGCCACACCCACATCTAACAGAGTACCTGCCTCCTCTCCCATCCTAGATGCAATCCCAGAGTTAGAAATCCCACTTACCAACACCACCAGCAGCAGACACACTCATTGATCTCTGGGCCAGAAAATGATAATCCAATTGTCACCCTTCAGGACACTTTATTCAGGGAAAGGTTATAGAAAGAACAAGTTTGTTTATAAGTTATCTCCTTTCTTAGCAGCCTGAGGACTGAAGGATATTGGTATTTTAAAATTCTTTATTTAAATTCAATTTAGGAACACAGAGTGTATTACTAGCTGCAGAGGTAGAATTTGGTGATTCATCAGTTGACTATTAATACCCAGTGCTCATTATATCAAGTGCTCTCCTTACTGCCCATCACCCAGTTATCTCTTCTCCCCACCCTCCCCTCCAGCAACTGAAGGGTGCTGTTTTAAAGCCTTTTTAAAGTCTCCATGTACTTATGCGTTTCTCACCTCCTGCAATTTGTAGAAGATGTGCCTATTCTCAGACCTTAAAAACCATACAGTCTCTACACTTTCGTTGGACCGTAATCACAACTGTGGCTACAGTTTTGTTAGTCTGAGTTTGACCTTCCTTCATGTTCACTAGCTTAGTGATTTAGATATGCTGAAATTCTAGTAATACCAAGCTCGATAAGCTCCCAGCCTGGACACTGGAGGCTCCTTGCTGGCAAGAATGGTGCCTTTTGGTTTTGTATTCCTAGCACCTAGCATCCTGCTTGTTATGTAGTATTGTTCAGTGAAATCACCCTAGAGAGAGGCTCTATTAACTGCAGAGGGTCTGAGTTTTGCCCTACTTGCAAGTTAACAACTTAGCCTGTCGCCGTTTCATGGATGGGAGAAGATAAGAGACTCCTGGGTCAGAGACAAAAATAGTTTATTACTCACAGTGATAGTAGTAGCTACAGTATCTGCATTTTTTTAAAAAAGATTTTATTTATTTATTTGACAGAGACAGCGAGAGAGGGAACACAAGCAGGCAGGGGGAGTGGGAGAGGGCAAAGCAGGCTTCCCACCAAAGCAGGGAGCCCTATGTGAGGCTCAATCCCAGGACTCTGGGGTCATGATCTGAGCAGAAGGCAGACGCTTAACGACTGAGCCATCCAGGTGCCCCAGTATCTGCATTTTTTAAAGCCAGTTCCCCCCAAACTTAGTTTCTACCAGGCAATGTGAATACGGCCAGTTAACACTGGTTAACATGAAAAACTGAGATGAGAGAAACTGAATCTTTGTTTTCCTTTGTGGAGTCTTTATGGATTTACTTAAAACAAATAAAACAAAAGAAATAAAATAGAGCTGTCTATTCATTTTCTTCACTGTGCAGCCTGGCAATGGAATTGGTGACTATTAACACCCAGTGCTTCCCTTTCCATAGGGCTTTGGGGTTCTTAGAGAAAACGCTGGAAGCAATCTCAGCACAATAAGATCTGTTGCATATCAGCAGCACGTCTAGCTTTTTGATGTTGTAGACCAGAAACTTGTAGAAACCACTGGCCAGCATATACTTCATTTTCTTGTTGTTACCATAACCAATGTTGGGCATCAAGATCTGGCACTCGAATCTTTTCTATACCCTGTTGTCAATGTCTCTGGGTTTCTGCCAGTTACGCTTAATTTGACATATGAGTCTGATGGTGCCAGATGAACTTTTTGGTCTTCTTTTTGACAATGTTGGGCTTCGTGAGGGGTCTGAAAATAGTCATGATGCTAGGTTGGAGGTGGCTGCTACCTCTCTTCAATCTTTTTATAATGGGCAGTCAGCATGCCTGTCCTTTGCTCCAGAGAGACACACTAACACTATCAAACATCCTCGAAAAGTTAGTCCGAAACAAAATTTAACCAGTGCCTCATCTGCAAGAGATGCAGAGATGTGAGTGACCCACAGAGAAATGTCTCAACAGGAGCTGACAGGAGGCAGAGGTGACAACAGCCTGAACACTTGCCCTGCCCACCTCAAGGAAAAGCAGTTTTCTCAGTGCTTCACAAGCGTACTGCTTCTTCCAGCTTCTACTTGACTGATGGTCCATTACTCCCTGCTTTGAATGCCCTCTCTCTACTTCTCTTATTGTGGAAACACTACTCATTCTTCCAGGTAAGATTCAAAGTCCACCTCTCCCACAAAACGTTCCCTGACCAGCCCAACTCACAGTGATTTCTTCTTCTCTAATATTATTATCTATACCAATCATATTGATACTTAAGAAGTAATAATAGTAACAACAACAACCACCTCTGACATTTGCAACTTATTTTACTTTCTACAAAATATCTTTACATTAAATATTTCCTTTGGGGGCGCCTGGGTGGCTCAGTGGGTTAAGCCTCTGCTTTGGCTCAGGTCATGATCTCAGGATCCTGGGATCGAGCCCCACATTGGGCTCTCTGCTCAGTGGGGAGCCTGTCTCTCTGCCTACTTGTGATCTCTCTCTCTCTCTCTCTGTCAAATAAATAAATAAAATCTTTAAAAAATAAAATAAAATAAAATATTTCCTTTGGCCCTCACAGGAATCTGTGAGGCAGACAAAGGAAAGTATTATTATTCTCAATGTATAGATGAAGAAAAGCAGAGATTTAGAAATTTGCTCAAGGTCTCCTAGTTCATAAGTAGGTCATCAGGTTTAGAGTTAGTTCCTGGACTCACCGTGGCTGCACTATACTATTTCTTATTGCTACTTAAACTCCCAAATGGGTTTGTGTCATGTGATATTAAGTATCAGACTTGATACTTTCTCTCTGGTCAAAGATTAGGGAAAGAGAGCAAAGTTACAGCAGAGTCTAGCGGTTATGAATCCTACATCAGGCAAACCTGCTGTGGAGAGATTTTTTGGGTTCACCAATATGCAGATTGCCTCTTCTTCTGGAACACAGAGCTAAACCAAATTTTGCAGGTTCCCTTGCAGCTAGGTGAAATCATGTGACTGAGACCCATCTATGGGATATGGGCAAAAATGATGTCACTTCTTCCAGGTGTAGCCATGAAACATCCTATTCAGTTTTCCAGGCTCTTTCCATCACTCCATCGGGCTGGTTGATGATAGGAAGGTCTTGAAGCTACAACATGCTCAAGCCACAAAACGGAAGGGGCCTGGGTACATGAGTCACAGCTTACAGGTGAGTTGCCTAAGAAAGCCACCTGATGAGGTCCATCAATGCTGCATGTTGCCCCAGAAAGAAACAAATCTTACTGTGTTACATCACTGTGATTTTGGGATTGTTAAACTAGTTCTCTTACCCTAAAACACTCAAGATTAAATCTCAGCACTGCAATTTACCTGTGTGATGTGACCTTCTGCATGACACTTAGCCTCTGTCCATTTGTAAAATGGGAATAATAATAATATCTATCTCACAGGATGCTTGTGAGTATTCAGTGAAACAAATTATGGAAAGGGCTTAGCATATGTGCCAATATGCAACGTGTCTAGTACATAGTATAAATGCTATTTAGTCAATAAATATTAACTATTCATGTTATTGCTTCCAACACATATTCTGCTGGTTCCAAACAGAATTTCAAAATTCTGCTTTTCCAACTTGTGTTGGAGGAGAAAGGAGGGTGCTTTCTCCTACTCTAATTACTTTATGACAATGAGAAGGCTCAGAACTAGTCAGGACTAGAATCAGTCTGCACACAGACCTTGTTTTTTGGGCACTCTGCCAATCTGTCCTTTCCTGCTCCTGTGGATTTTTAAACTTCAATGAGAAATAACCAAGGAGAAAAAAAAATACCCCTCAAAAAGTATAAGGCTGTTTCCATTCATGGGGGTGGCGGGGGAAATACCCTATTAAAATCTTTGGAAACTCTCTGCGTATCATTCTAGAAATACATTCTCTAACTAAAGGCTACATTTGATAATACTTAGTCTGAATATTCACAACGAATGTATCGGCTGTGTGGTTGGGTCATTTGGAGTCAGACGACTAGATCTTTCAAGCCAAAAAAACTCTATTCTCTGAGTGATAACGATTTGTCTGTTAGGTCCACCAATCATGACAAATGTACCACTTTGATGGGGGTTGTCGATAATGGAAGAGGCTGTGCATGGACGGGGGTTAGGGGGTATGTGGAAATGCTCTCTACTTTCCACTCAATTTTGATGTAAACCTAAAACAGCCCTAAAAAATGAAGTCTCTTTAAAATAAAATTCTGTGCACCATTACTGGATTGAACTTCCCATTACAAACAGTCTAATGGGATAATTATGTTATTAAAAAGAAATTAAGGTGGTTTTGTCTTTAAATAATTGGCAATCTGTTCCCAATACTTTATTTTTTCTCTAGTTGGTAGCAACACACACTTGAAGCACAGATTGAGCCACGTCTCTGGCACTTGGGAGGCTGATGACAGGGCACAGAAAGGCCTGTCAGAGCTGATTTCATGTTAGGACTTGTTAATGTGTCCAGCCCACCCACTCTTGCAGTGGTTCAGGGAACTAATTAAAAAAAAAAAAAAAAAAGAATCCCCAAGGGTATGCAGCAAGAACATTTCTTGCATGAGCAGATCAGGAAAATACAGAATGTTTCTTTGAAGTTTTTGCTTGATGGCCCAGATTTAAATACACACTAGAAGGTAAAGAATAACTTTCATTGACCCTCTTGTCAATTATCGTGCTGCTGGCTCTCACTTTTGTCCACTGACTAAGTAAGCCTGGAAAAAGCTATGGGCCCTGAAATCAGTGAGCCTTAGTTTAAATTCCAGCTTGATGCCTTGGCTAGGTTACTTAACTTTTCAGAGATTTGTTTTGCTGTTTGTGAAACAAGAGTATTATATCACTGATCAGTGGTGAGTACCTAGGAATTGTGTTGTAGCTTTGTTGTTTTTAAAGTAAGATTAAGATTACAAACTTCCACACAAACTTGGAATAAGGAAAACACACCACCAAAAAAACTCCTGAGGGATTAATCACAAGACTAGAAAAAAGAGATTTTAATACAAATAGTCTATTTATTAATCTCTTCAACCTCTTGCTAACCCTTCACCCTTCTAACACTAAAAGTTATACAAAAAATTTTGGAATGTAGAACACTTTATCAAATATACAACTTCATCATATTACTAAGGAACGCTGATCATGGAATTACTTGCATTTTTTCTAATCGTTTACCATTAAATAGTCTATTGAGAGATTTATAAACACATGAAGATCAAAGACCATTTCTATTTTCATTTTAAAGCTGATTTACCACACAGAATTTTATGAAAAAAACTTTTCAGGGGCGCCTGCGTGGCTCAGTGGGTTAAAGCCTCTGCCTTCGGCTCAGGTCATGATCCCAGGGTCCTGGGATCAAGCCCCACATTGGGCTCTCTGCTCAGCGGGGAGCCTGCTTCCTCCTTTCTCTCTCTCTCTGCCTCTCTGCCTACTTGTGGTCTCTGTCTGTCAAATAAATAAATAAAATCTTTAAAAAAAATTTTTCAGTGAAATGATATAAAATACTCCAAATTTATCATTTTATCTGGTCCAAGTGTTGGCCTAGTCCAAGTTAACCTATGTTTCACAGAGCACAATGATTCAGTTCCAGACCTCCTTAAGGTTTGGTCTGAAAGTTTGGTCCTCTCTTACAGGCTCAGAGAGATTATTACAACCTTGGTTTGGCCTAGAACTGATCTCTACTCTCCAGAAATCCTCCAATGAGAATTTACTTGAGATAAGTTAAAATCTGAACAGTCTCCATGGTTTAGATCAGGAATCAGAATTTTTTACTTTGTTACATTCGACCTTCATTTAAACAAATAAGCTAAAAAATTGTTTTGTGCAGAAATGCAAAATGCCGCAGACGGTAACACCACAACACTTTCTCCCATACTCTGCCTAGTCCATAGCCATTGGTTAGAGCCCTATGACTAGCTCTGGTCAGTGTGCTGTGTGGGGACTTGATGTGTGTCCCTTCTGGGCTGAGGCAGAAAAAGGCTGACTGATGCCTGATTCTCTCCTTTTTCTTCTTTTCCACTCTGACTTGAGTGGCCTCATGGGTCCCTAACTGACTATGTGGAGGAAAACCCACTCCCTCCCTGCCTGGAACAATGTATCAGTGAGAAGGCAATTTCTGTTGTGTTAAGCCACTGAGATTTGGGAGTTGCTTGTTATAACTTAATTTAGTCTGTCCTAATTCACAACAGTTTCCTCAATGCAACATGTTCTTTTACTGTTCGTGCTTTTGCACACTCTGTTCGCAATGCCTAAAAAGGTCTTTGCACCTTATTCATCATTCCAACTCCTATTTATACTCTGAGATCCAGCCCCAATATCTTCTCCTGTCAATGCATCTGCCATAGAGAGGGAAGAGTGTGGGTTTCAGAATTTGCTAGGCTCAGGTTCAAATGTAGGTTCCAATCTCTTATAAGCTAAGCAACTTTAGGAAAGTAATTTAATCTCTTTCTGCTTGAGTGTCCTCATCCATAAAGTGAGAATTATAACTTCATTGGATTTGGCACCTAGGAAAAAAAAATCAACAAATACTAGCTGTGTTCTCAGGCCACTATCACCCCAGCTAAATTTGGATGTATTTTCCTCTGGGTTCCCATACCACCTCTATTATAACACTTTACCATCTTCCAGTATGTTTTTTTATTTTGTTTGTTTGTTTGTTTGTTTGTTTTTTAGTTCAAGCCCCACTTTGGGTGTAGAGCTTACTTTAAAAATGAATGATTAAGATATTTTTAAAAGATTTTATTTATTTGTCAGAGAGAGAGAGAGCTCGAGCACAAGCGGAGGAGTGGCAGGCAGAGGGAGAAGCAGACTCCCTGATGAGCAGGGAGCCCGAAGCAAGACTCAATCCCAGGACCCTGGGATCATGACCTGAGCTGAAGGCAGATGTTTAACCCACTGAGCCACCCAGAAACCCCAATGAATAAAATATTTTTTAAAAATAAAATAAGGGACACCTGGGTGGCTCAGTGGGTTAAATGTCTGCCTTCAGCTCAGGTCATGATCTCGGGGTCCTGGGATTGAGAAGCCCTGAGATGGCCTCCCTGCTCAGTGGGGAGCCTTCTTCTCCTTCTCCCTCTATTCCTCCCCCCACACTATATGCTCTCTCTCTCAAATAAATAACATCTTTTTTAAAAATTGAAAGAGACGGGGTGCCTGGGTGGCTCAGTGGGTTAAAGCCTCTGTCTTTGGCTCAGGTCATGATCCCAGGGTCCTGGGATTGAGACCTGCATTGGGCTCTCTGCTCAGCAGGGAGCCTGCTTCCCCCTCTCTCTCTGCCTGCCTCTCTGCCTACTTGTGATCTCTGTCAAATAAATAAATAAAATCTTTTTTAAAAATTGAAAGAGAAAAGAAGAAAAGAAAAAATTTAACCTACTTGCTTTAAGACATCTCATTCCTGCTGCAGCCTCTGCCTCCTTCTCTTATGGCAGACAAGTTATCTTTTCATCACTATTTGTGTTCTCTGCTACAGCACACTTCTGGAAAACATTTATCAGTTCCCTTGCAACTAGAAAGAGCTTCATGATTAATTCTCACCAATGGAAAGTAAACAGAAATGATGTACCTGCTTCCAAGCCTAGCCCATAAAATACCTGTCTTGAGGTTCTCCCTCACTCTTTCAGTCCCTTCATTTGGATGCAGAGGAATCAGTGGAGAATTCCAAGCCCAAGAAGATGCTGGAGCCATAGATGGGAAATCCTTGGAGCTTGAGTCCCTGAATGACTGTGTAAGCTTCCACTCACCTGATCCCAAACAATTCATGTTGGACTGTGACATGAATAAGTAATTATTGTGTTTAGCCATTGAAATTGGATTCTTAGTAACACTCAAAGCCTTATATTCACTCATCCAAGGGCTGGGATAAGAAGCACTTAGGCAGCTTGGTGCACTTCAGTCCTCACCCCGCATCTGTAAGGACCTATACCAGCAGTCTTCTTGTAGTGCCAACCACTGGGCTCCTGTGTTTCCCACCACTTCCTCCTTGACACAGATCTAACCTGGGACCTGGATGGTGCTGCCCAGTAAAGAACTAAGGGGTTGTATTTCTTCATGCACCTGAGCTACCCTGTTCTGGTAATGGGCACTGCTTCTGAGCCTGAGTTCCACTACTTTCTGTGATGCTTAGTCCTGCTTTTAGAGATTGTAGCTTAATATTCCAGGAATAGATCTCACTTCGCTTTTGCTTTGCTTTTGCTGGGTCCTGCGCAAGAGCTGTAAACCCTTCTCCAGAGACCATCCCGTGATTAACCACTGTAAGCAGAATAAGCCAGCTTCCTGCCCATTTGGAATCTTGAGTCTCACACCTACCTTCTCCATACCCTGCCTCCCCCAGTCATGATGGGAAACTATTCTACCTTGGTGCTCTAGTTGGAAGACCAAGTATTTAGTTCAACTATGTCTATTTTGCCTGCATTTCACTGGGCCCCTTTGCCCTTTTGAGCACCAGGGTCTCTACCTTCAGCTGGACCCAGGCCTACCTTTTACCAAGTATCTTCCTGACCTTTCTCTCCAGTCTAGATAAATCCATGGGGCCTCACAGAGGAGTTCCAAGATAGCACAGTTTAGAGGTCATCAGGGTATTTTGTTTTTCTTTGGCCATTTACTATTTTCTTGATGTTTTTTGTGATAAACGTGTTTTAATCATAGAATATCACAAATACATTAATGGTTAAGGGCCTTATACTTTTATAAGATAGAAATACACTGCATTTTAGTGCATGTTTGCATACACATATTATTTTATTGTTCTAAATAAAGCCTACCAGGACCTCAGGCTAACATCTGATGACTCAATATGCAAGTTTACAGAAGTCCCAGCCAGCCGTCCTACTGCACAGACACCACAAACACAAGCCTTTAAAGTGTCTTCCTTCTTTAATCTCACTTTTTTCCTTCCTTCCTTCCATATGCCTTGCTTTCATTAGCTAGTCTGTATCTTTACTCTCCAGCCAAATAGACCTGGTTGTTTCTAAACAATACCTTCTATTACTGAGCTTAAGGAAGTTAAAAAATAAAATCAAACCCTGCTGTCTGTAGGTGCAAATTGTCAATTGCCAATTCTCGGGAAAACAGCTGCTAGAAGGAAGAGTCTGTCCTATATTCTTGGCCACAACAAAGACAATAAAAGCCTCACCCTGCAGAGGTCCTGGAAACACCCAGTTCCCATCATGGAAGGGCAGAGCACTGCACCTGCACTCAGACTTCACTCCCTACACTAAGGATGTTCACAGACTCCAGTAAAGGTAGAGCACACTGAGGGTTAAACATGAGCCAGACACTGCAGCGCCCATGTCCTCACTACTCACAGCAGCATTTTTACAGGGCAAGTACTAGTCTTATCACTCCTATTTCACAGATAAGGAAACTGAGGTTTAGATGCCTTACATAACTTGGTCAATGTCACAATGTGTCAATTAGGATGAACTCAGCTACAAGAAATAAAAATTTGTGACGTGTGGCTTATACCAGTGCTTCTTAAATTTTAATGTGCATAAGAATTATTGGGGATCTTGTTTAACAATTCCAGTTCAGTAGTTTGGGGTGGGAGTGGGATTCTTCATTTTTAAGAAGCAACAACGTGATGCCAATGCCACCCAGCAGACCATATTCGTGTAGCAAGTGTTTAACCACAAGAACATTTGCTGTTTCCTTAATGAGAGGTTTGGAGGTAGGCGGTTCGAGGACTGATTCAGCAGCTCCACAACATCCTTCAGCACACAAACTCTTTCCATCTTTCTGATGTGCCGTCATAAATAAGGTGACTTTTTTTTTATCTGAGGCTATTTCCTCATGGTCACAGGATGGCCATCACTGCACCACATGTCACACCTGCATGTGGCTACAGACACAATTCATTCCCTGAGACTGGACATGTTGCCAGCTCAAAAAAATGTAGCAAGGAAGACATGGGAGTGGGTGTGGGTGGAAGTGGGGAAATTGGAGATGGGTAGGCATTATAAAAGGTCTGCCTTGGCCAGGAAATAGTATAACCAGGATTCAAACCTATCTGTGTCCAAAGCTATACTACCTTCCATCTGCTTAATTAAGGGTAGCAGAGGGGACTTGGAGTCCTCTCAGAAGGCCTGGAATGTGATTGTTCTAAACATGCTCAGTTCTGATGACTTCTACCATGCCAGCCTGAAGAATGAGTGCAGAATTAAAAAAAAAAAAAAAGGAATAGATCTGTTTGGAATCTAGAGGTGAAGAGCCAAATAAGCACTATGTAGTTATAAAGATTTTGCTCAGCAGACAACTGTTCTTCTATGGGTCGGAGATTTTCAGCTGAATTAGACATACACATTAAAATATCCTTTAAAATGATTTATCTTGCCTCCATGCTCATGAGGAAAATTTCTGATTTATTATTTGATCTTCCAGGTGGTCAGACACCAGGAAGAAGGAGTGGTTCCCTGGTGAGTCTACACAAGTTATTGTTTCTCTGAGAATACGTGGCTCTCGCTGAAAATAAGTATTTGGACAAAGGGAAGAGCTCAGAGACGTACCCAAGGCCAAACTGAAACTGAAGCAATGAAAGTGGAACCACAAATCACTATAAAAGGAACATACTGTTTAGGAAATGTTGGGAAAACTGGCTCCCCATTTGGGAGAAACTTTTTAAACAAAATTTCAAAAAGACAATGAGATATCAGTCTCCATCAGTTAGACCAGTCTCTCAGGGAACATGGAAGAGGGTGTTCACTGCAATGTTGTTTATGGTGCTGGGGAGTCGGAGGCAACATGATTTGCCATTACTGAGAGAGAGAATAGATGCAACGGACTATACATAACACATAAAAATAAGAACAGGTCTTTAAAACACAGTAATGATGACAAATAGAATGTAATAGAATGAATGTGAACTAAAAATACAAGCACATAAAGTAATACACAATTTGCATAATACATTCAAATAAAAAGTTACACATAAAATATATTAAGGTGCCTATGGGTGTAGAGTATGATGATCAAAGGGAATGGAGGGATGAATGGATGGATGGATATAAATAGGACAGCGCAGTCTTGGAGGGACCAATAATGATAACATGCCAATAACTGAAGACTGGCATTAACTCAACCTTAAAATCTCAACAAATAAATCAGCACATTCAGGCAAACACATACACAGATATATATTTATCTATACAGTATCCATATATAGATAGAAATTTTTAAAATCTAAAAATCAATCCATAGAGATTTTGTTTATTCATTAGTTTTCTTGTGACTTCCTAGAGATGTCCTGACAAAAGAAGGTCTCAGGGCCTGCAAAGCTGTGTCAGAACCCAGACCGGGCCTGAAGACCCAGTCAAGTCAACTTCCCTGAGTAATCCACCTTCCTAGTCTACAACCATTATGTCTCTAACTACAACCATAAATCTGGGAGGTTTTTTGCTTTTGTTTTAAGATTTTTTCTTTTTTTAATTTTAGAGAGTGTGTGAGTGAGCACAAGTGGGAACGGCAGAGAGGAAGGGAGACAGAATCTCAGGCACACTCCATGTTCAGCGTTGAACCCAACAAGGGACTCAATCTCATGACCATGAGATCACAACCTGAGCTGAAACCAAGAGTCAGGAGCTTAACTGACTGCTCCACTCAGGCAACCCTAGGAGATTTTAATTAATAAAATAGAATATCATCTTTCTGTCTAGTTAGAATATATCTTTCCTTCCCTCCAGGGGGATATACTATTCATTTTTATTTTTACTCAGTTACCATTTCTTTGTCTAAGTTCTTCAGTTAATGGAAAAGGGCAGACTGTTAATATCTTCTCATTTGCACTAATACATTGTTTTCTTATTATCACTGCTTTTACTGCTATAGGTAATTTTCCTGGCCTATGTAGATTTTTTTTTTTTTTGGTATAATGGTAGATATATTTTCATGTTTTAGAAATAACTCCTGGTATTTAAGGGATAACATTTAAGGCAAAGACGCTATAAATAGAAAACTAGCTCACTGAATTGTAAACTGGCATTTGGAATGGAAAAAAAAAAATGAGTGTGTCCTTAAGTGGACGAGAATGTTTGCACAGGAGGCCAGCTGTTGTTTTAAATTAACCTTGATGCTAGGATTTAACCCTTTGCTCCAGAAGAAATTAAATAGGTTAATTTCTAACCAATTGGAACCAAAGGGTTACAGGAGCAAAATTAAGAAAATTCCTCGGTTGTGCCTGAATTTGGAAATTCTGTAATCTAAGGTGCTAAGCAAAATGTCACGACAAATCCTTTTGGCACAGCTTTTTACAAAAGTAAGTTGTAAGATGTATACCAATATATTTAAGAGAAACTGCTGCACAAGCAAAGAGAACTGTTAAAATATCTCCTTAATACAAAAATCCAAATGGATGTACATATACTTTCAAAACAACCAACAGAGAACTTAGAATAGCTAAAAATATAAGTGCTTGCATGGTTTGCTTCTTATAGCTCCAGTCCCTCTCTAAAATAACATCTTGACTTTGTGGCTTTATGCTTTCTTCTTCTTAAAATGCCATTTATATGCGTGCAGGCGTAGCTCACTGCTACTGACTGGTGTTCCAGTTTGCCTTTAGGCTAGTCTAGCTGGGAATGAGCTTTACAGAAGCCAGATACTCCAGGCTCTTATCTCAGATAAGATATAGAGCCCAAAGGCAAGATCATAACATTCTCATTGCATGCCCTTTGGACAAAAATCTGTGACCAAAGTCACTGTAGTTCTAGAAATAAAAAATGGAATCAATCTGATCAA